CCTGGGGCAGACCTAATTTCCAGGGGCTGGAGGGACTGCTGGTACTCTGAAACAAGGAGGTGGTAGGTTAGGCTGTGGTAAAACACAGCAATTTGGGAATTCCTACCCTCGGTTCTGGGGATTAGCTCTTTGTTCTAGGGCATAATTAAGCTGGGGTGGGTGGGGAGACCGCCAAACCCTGGTGTTTCTTGGTAGGATTTCTGTTTTGGGATTAAATTGGATAGCCTCTTAAGAGATCTTAGAGATTTTGTGCTTCCTTGGTTGGGAATGTGTTGACGGTGTTGTGGTCTTCTCCTTTACAGCTGATTGACATCACAGGCAAGAACCAAGATGAGTGTGTGATTGCTCTGCATGATTGCAATGGGGATGTTAACAGAGCTATCAACGTGCTGCTGGAGGGCAATCCGGACACGGTAGGATTGGGTCCTATAAATCTGGTGAGGCCTAGTTCAGTGTAACTGCCTATTTGGAGACAAGACCTACAATAATGTTTAGACAGCGAGAGCCTAAAGGACTTGCTAGTTATACGGATAACACGTAAAGTGTGATTATGTCCTGGCTTCTTAATGTTGGTATTTGTAGTTTTGCACAAAACGTGAACATAGCTAACAGGCCCGAATGAACGGAGGGGAAAATGCAATGAATCGCTTCCGTTCCTTTTGAATCCCGGCGCTTTGACACGGTACAGTGGACCTGTTTTGCAGTAACTGCCTGCATGCAAGCTTTCACACTGTAGAAAGTGTGAAGTAACTAACCTCTTTTTCTGTGAGGGCTAACTGACCTCGATTGACTTGTATGTGTGCACATCCATGGTTCTTGCCCTGTTATTGCTGGGGTAATGCAATTGTGTGTCTCTGGCCCTGGACATTCATGTCTGGTACTCAGTGCTGCACTGACTGTCTTGTGTGCCATTGCCCACGCCGTGTTTTCGCGGGGCTTTCTGCCCCTTGCGCTCCTCTAATGTTTTCTGCTGAGTTAGACTTGACTGCTGTCGCTCATACAAGCCTCATTTGTAGGCAAGCTAAAAATTGGCTCTGAGAGTGAGTGCTTGCTTAGGAGAAACCTTCCATATAGCGTATGAGATATCC